TTCCAAGTTTAATGAAGTAGACAATGTTGTCTTTCGAGGCAGTTATTTGACCACTGTTCTATTTCATATTGCCCTCAACGAATTCATTCATGTACAACCAATTAAACAATTAGTGAATATAGTTGAGCATAATATGCAGTTCGTTGCGCGGTAAACAGCCCCTATACTGCGCTAATTTCTGGCGGATAGTAGTCGCCCCTCCACAAATTTGGGGTTACTGTTTATATTAGTTTCCGTGACTCAATAATTACATGACGTTCATATCATTTAACTTTACATATTTAGTTGCTGCTCATACATCCATATGCACATATTTGTGAATAATGTGTATGTATATGTTAACAAATGCACATATGATTTTTTTGAGATCACCTACATTCTATACTTACTTGCAGTAATATAGTCTACCCTCTTTAGCCACGTGTACGGTCCAGTTCTCCTTGAGTTTTTCCTGTAATGCTTGTAGGTGTCGCTCGACTTCTTCCCAAGTTCCCGCACTATCCAAAACTGGCGTAGCTGCATCTGTACTGTTTAATACTGGTGGAAGACTGGGGGCGCACACAGCATGCACGGTGCAAGTGGCCCTGTTTTCACATTGGTTACAGGGTGCTGAGGAATGTTTGCCCGCCTCTGCGTTTGTTGACTCTATAGTTGTTGGCCCACTGTCAGTAGCTCCTGTCGCAGCTACTGGCTGCACGTTTTCTGACTTATTTATGACGTTCGTGGGCAGGAGAGGAGATGATATTCTTGTCAAGGTGTTTGAGCGCCCCGAAGGCAACAACATTGTTAATGGTCATTCGCTATAATAGGATAAACACATTTAATAGATAAAGGGTTTATAAAGCAATTGAAGGTAGTCGAAATTGAATAAATTAAAAATAATTTCGAACTGTTACAATTGAAATACAATACACACTTATTCACATAAAGCACTTGCTGACAAAACTAACGGAACATTTCCTCGAACCGGTTTTTTCTCTCAATCGGATGTAGAATTTTGTATAATTGTAGCCGTCATCGATTCGCCATCAGTTAGCTAGTGGCGAAACGAACGAACTCAATGAGGTACAACCAAACTTGCGATCGTCTATTCGTGCTAGCTAACTTTGTTGTTGCTTTCACATGCAAAATTTTTCGTTAAGCGATCGGAACTCAAACATAGCAAGCAGCGAAGTGGGGCGTCGATGACGGCTTGTATAATAAGGTTGCCATACGCAGAGCATTTCCGTTTCCTTATGTTGTACGAGTACATATAGAAGTGACCTTATAATTTTGCCGCACACTGTATATGTACATACATATGTATATCGTTACCTTATTAAAGAAAGGCCTATCTCATATAGTCGCTGAGATGCAAAAAAGCGTAATTACCTAAAATTTTTTATTGCATAAAACATGCATGTCAGGACTTATC